ATAGAACACAAATTTGGATATAACGCGGTAAAGCAGCGCTCCGAGGGGGCGGGGCTGGGCACTCCGGCGGATCAAAGCAAGTTCAATATAACGCGGTTTCACCTATAACGCGGTAAGATTTTTTGGCTTCCGAGGACAGCGTTATATTGGGGTAGAGGTGTATATGGAAAGCTATTTGTCCCTCATGTGTAATTTTTAGCTATGACTAAAACTGGCCCTTCCTTTCACTAGAACAAATATTAAAAAGAAATATTTTCCCTAAAATCACTGTAATCACTCTTAAATCTATAGCCTTTTTGACCAGATGGTTAGAACTTCTTGACCTAATACCCAGCTAAGAGCCAAATGAGATCTTGAATATGCTGGCCTGTAGGCTGTAGCTTGATACCCACCCTTCTGCAGGGTCTGAGAAAAAGTTGAAAGTTAAAACTTTACATCAGTGATACTCAGATCTCAGTGGTTCAGGAGCCAAATTTAGTAATCAACAATACCCAGTAGGTGAATTTATTGTTTCCTTTACCATAGTACTATACATTCATATTTAAGCAGTATGATGGGAAATATTTAGTTTATATAATTCTCACAGCAAAATGACTGACCAAATATCATCATTTTATCCACTACAGTTGGTTAATAACATAGTAAAAGTATCCTGATTGGCTAATAACTCAGACTGGTTAATAATCACACAGTGTTTTAATATCGTGTGCTGCAAAGAGCTGCAGGAGACACCTTAAAGAGCCACTTGCGGATCCAGAGCCTCAGTCTGAGTATCCCTGCTCTCCGTAACTCATCATATGAAGTGACTGGGTATCTATCCCAACTTTAACTTGTTTACTTATCAAAAATCAAATGGCTTTGTCTCAGAAGTCTCTATTAATTATTGTGTTTAGGCGGGTATCAGCATCTTGTTGAAACCAGTTTCTACTGCTTATATTGTACAGTGTAATATATGGAAAGGAATGTGGCCAGTTTCTGCATGTGATGTTTTAAACTGGTAATGCATCAAGTTATATCATTGTTGTACTTTGTTGTGCTTACTACCTAACTGCCAATAAAGTAGTACTTTATCAGATTGACTGGGTCTGGAATCCTGTATATTGGGGGGGAATCGATTAATTTGGGGTTGTAATGAAGTGAAATCAGGCTACTGAAAAGTTTCAGATTTTATTGTGAATTTGAAATGTCCTTTTAATCCCTACACAAAAGGTGCCAATTTATTCTGGCAGTTTGTCACTTGAACAGCTGTGCATTCTTACATGGCATAAGAACCTACATAGATAAGAATGCACATCAGGAATTGAAATTCCCAACTCATTTTCCATAGGTGGTTTTATAACTGTCAGACAGCTAGGTTTTCAGTGCCTACTGACAAGGTCTGGATTCAGACCAATGACCTACAGCAGTGGTCACCAACCAGTTGTTCGTGATCGACTGGTCGATCCTAGAGGATCTCCCAGTCATAGGGTTACCATATTTCCACAATCAAAAAAGAGGACACGGGGGGGAGGAGCCCTGCTCTAGCCCCGCCCCTGCCCTGCCCCATCCACTCCCTCCCACTTCCCACCCCCGACTGCCCCCCTCAGAACCCCCAACCCCCCCGCTCCTTGTCCCCTGACTGCCCCCTCCTGGGACCCCTGCCACTAACTGCCCCCTAGGACCCCACCCCCATCTAAGCCTCCCTGCTTCTTGTCCCCTGACTGCCCCCTCCTGAGAACCCCCCACCCTAACTGCCCCCCTAGGACCCTACCTGTCCCCTGACTGCCCCGACCCTTATCCACACCCCCACCCCATATTCACACCCCCACCCCCAGAGCCGGGCTGGAGCCGCTGGGGCTGGGGCCGGTGTGCTCAGCCGGAACTGGGGCCGCCGCCCTGGGGCCGGAGCCGGGCCGGAGCCGCTGGGGCCAGGGCCAGCGCGCTCGGCCGGCGCCGGGCTGGCACGCTTGGCCGGAACTGGGGCCGGTGTCTTGGGGCCCGAGCCGAGCCAGGCCCGAGCCGCTGGGGCTGGCCAGGGCTGGAGCCACTTGGCCAGGGCCGGAGGGAGCCGCTCGGCCGGGGCCGGACTGGGCTGCGCCGCGCCTCCTTGGAGCCCTCCTCCTCGCGTCCCCCCCCCCCGCCCCAGTTTACCTGCTGCTGCCGGCCTGCCCCTGCTTCTTTTCAGACTTCCCGCGAACATCTGATTCGCGGGAAGCAGGGGAGGGGGAGGAGCAGGGGGGCGGAGCGTTCAGGGGAGGGGAGGAAGGGGAAGAGAGCTGCCGGGCCGGATGGCGTGGTAAGGCTGCAGGGGATGGTGGGAGCCGGGAAAGGGCTTTGGCTGCCCAGCGGCGCTTGGCCGCCGCTTTTCCATCTATAAATAACCGACCGGGGGGAAATCCCAGACATTTTTAGATTTTTAGAAATCCCCCCCGGATTTATAGATCGAAAAGCCGGACATGTCCGGGGAAATCCGGATGTATGGTAGCCCTACCCAGTCAATCGCGATGTCCGGCGGCAGTGCAGTATGGCTGCTGCTAAAGCAGACTCCCTGCCTACCCCGAAAGTCGCCATTGCAGCCCGGAGGGTGGGGATCTCCCTCCATGTGCTGCTCCTGCCTACAAGCACCGGCCCCGCAGCTCTCATTGGCCGGGAGAGCTGCGGGGGCGGTGCTTGCAGAGAGCCATGTGCCCCTCACCTCAGGGGCTGTAGGGGCGCATTGGCCCCTTCCGGGAGCGATGTGGGGCCGGGGTAGGCAGGGAGCCTGCCTTAGCCTCGCTGCACCCACCGCCGACCGGGAGCCACCGGAGGTAAGTGCTGCCCGGCGGGAGGCCACACCCCAACCCCCAGCCCTGAGCCCCCTCCCGGAGCCAGCACCCCATGCCCCCTCCTGCACCCCAACCCCCAGCCCTGAGCTCCCTTCCGAAGCCAGCACCCCAAACTCCCTCCTGCACCTCAAGCCCCAGCCCTGACCCCCCTCCCAGAGCCAGCACCCTGTACCCCCTCCTACACTCCAACACTCTGCCCCATTCTGGAGCCCCCTCCTGCACCCAAACTCCCTCCTAGAGCTTGCACCCCTCACCCCCTCCTGCACCCCAACCCCCTTCCCTAGGCTCAGCCCAGAGCCCCTTCTCATACTGTGAACCCCTTGGCCCCAGCCCAGAGCCCGCACCCCCTCCTAAACCCCTGCCCCAGCCCAGTGAAAGTGAGTGAAGGTGGGGCAGAGTGAGCGATGGAGAGAAGGGGGAAGGAATGAGAGGGGCGGGGCTTTGGGGAAGGGGCGGGGCCTTGGGGAAGGGGCGGTGTAGACCCTGGGTTGCCCTTAAATTCAAAAAGTGATCTTGGATGTAAAAAGGTCAGAGACCACTGACCTACAGGTTCCGGGATCTGATAGTAAGATACAGAGCTTATTTATCACTCAAAAGAGAAAAATGGAAATTGAACAGTTAATTGGAAGGCAGAGGAAACAGCTGTGCAGAGAATGTTTTGGCTTTGAGCAGTCTGGGAAATGACGTTCTGTAGCATTTGCTGTTCTAGAAAGAGCGGAGACACGTAGTATAAATGGGAGGGCTCTGGAGAGGGCTGTCTCTCTACCAGTGTGTATATTTATCTATAAATGAGCAACAGGGAAGGGAATCAAATAAGGGTAAGCAGTCTACCCACTGCTCAGAGCACCAACTGCTTTGCTGATTTGTGCTATTTTTTCCCCCCCAGTATCACTGCATTACTCAGACACAGGACACTGGTTTCTTCGTATCGAGGAAAACTAAAATTCATCTAACAACACTCGGAATGGGAAAAGATTATTATTCAATTTTGGGAATTGAAAAGGGGGCTTCTGAAGAAGATATCAAAAAGGCTTACAGAAAACAAGCCCTTAAATGGCATCCAGATAAGAACAAATCCCCCCACGCAGAGGAAAAATTCAAAGAGGTTGCAGAAGCCTATGAAGTGCTGAGTGATCCCAAAAAGAGAGACATTTATGATCAGTTTGGGGAGGAAGGTAAGTATTTCTCTTACTCAGTATCTATCTGTGCTATACTCTTAAAGTGGACACTTAGTTGTGTTGAATGCCACAAGACAAGAAGAAAGTTTGTGTGTTTATCCATTGCATGTACTGATTTAGACAATGATTGTTTTCTTATGGAGACTGATATATGGTAATTACAGAGATTTATATGTTAACAAATATATATAATCATGTATAGTGTATACTTCATAGTTTAGAACCATGCTTAATTCAATTTTCTTTATTTAAAAAAAAAAATAAAAAGATCCCAAATCCATGTTATAGAACTTTTTTAATGAAATTAATATTTGTCTGTGACCCATAAATAGCTGGATGCATTTTATTTATTTTTGCCCCTGTGCTTTTTGAGATAGCCATCAAAATGTTACATAGAGACAGAGCGCCTCTTTGAATAATGTAAAAAGCAACAAAGAGTCCTGTGGCACCTTATAAGGTGTCACAGGACTCTTTGTTGCTTTTTACAGTTCCAGACTAACATGGCTACCCCTCTGATACTCTTCGAATAATATATCTCTAAAACTTTTCATAAAGGATAGTTTGCTTGTACAAAACAAGACAGGACAGTCCCTCTACTGAGCAGGAGCCCAGGTGTCCAGTCCTTAGTTGGCCTTGGCTTCTTGCCCGTAGAGGAAAGTATTTGCCTGATGTCATGAAATACCAGAACAATTTTTTAGTTTAACTGTAAACAGTAATAACGTGCCAAAGGGATGAGGCCTCAGAAATGTTATATATAGCCTAAAATGATTACTTAAACAGGAAGCTCTTTCTTTTTTTAATCATCAATTGCGATGGTTCCCCACCATTTCTAGGATTCAGCAGTTACCTTTTGCATCCTATTTGAGACTCCAAACTGGTTAAGCACTGCCCACAGAAACTAGGTAGGCTCATTTAATGGTTAACATTCATTTGGGGCCAGATTCTGACAATTTGACTCATGCTGAGTTGCACACAACTCCATCCGTAGTAGGGTGACCAGATGTCCCGATTTTATAGGAACAATCCCGATATTCAGGGCTTTTTCTTATATAGGTGTCTATTACCTCCCCACACCTCCTGTCCTGAATTTTCACACTTGCTATCTGGTCACCCTAATCAGTAGTCTCATTGGCTAGTAGCACTAATTGTGAAGTAAAGTGCTATACAACAGTGGTTCTCAAACTAGGGCCGCTGCTTGTTCAGGAAAAGCCCCTGGTGGGCCAGGCCAGTTTGTTTACCTGCCGCATCCTCAGGTTCAGCCTATCGCAGCTCCCCAGTGGCCGCGGTTTGCCGCTCCAGGCCAATGGGGGCTGTGGGAAGTGGCGGCCAGTACATCCCTCGGCCCGCGCCGCTTCCCACAGCTCCCATTGGCCTGGAGCGGCGAACCGCGGCCAGTGGGAGCCGTGATAGGCCGAACCTGCGGACACGGCAGGTAAACAAACTGGCCCAGCCCACCAGGGGCTTTTCCTGAACAAGCGGCGGCCCTAGTTTGAGAACCACTGCTATACAAGATATCTGGCCCTTTATCAACATGAAAACTTGATTTTTGTGGTGCTGTCATTGATCATTGCTTCTTTGTAAACTTCTGTAAATGAGGCAAATTCCATGGTCTCTTGTTCCAGTGTGAAGTGAGAGAATTCTGAAACTACAAGTCTTTGCTGATGTTTCTACGGGTTCTCATGTCATTCCTAAGACTCTGATACCTGACCTGATTCTATTATTTGGGAATACTAAGGGCTCATCCTGCTCCTTTGGTACTAGGCCCAGATTTTTAAAGGTATTCAGTCATTGCTGCACTCAGCATTGTAATGCCTAAGTCTCATTTTCAAAAGGGATTTAAGCACTTGACTGTCAATAGGTTTTAGGCTCCTAAATTCCCAAACCCCTTTTGGAAATGAGCGTTGGGCTCCTAAATCAATTAGGCATTGCAATGCTAAGGGCAGCAATGCCTAAATAGCTGTAAAAATATTGCCCATAATCTTTTGCCTTATTGCTTTTTTCCCTCTGTTTGTTGTTCTTTCCTATATGCAAGTACTTAATTAATCTACAGCTTAGGTAATATTCATTCTATTCCAGTGCAGTAGCACTTCCTATAACCCCCTCCTAAAAATATCATTAGTTAGATTCTCCTAAGAGTGGAGGGCAAGGCATATAAAGCAGTGTAGCCTTTGGCAGTGTGGCATTGCATACCTGAAGCAGAGGCTCAAAGCATGTACTTCTGTTTATTTTAGGCATAATATTAACAAAAGTATTGACAAGTTCCTGAAGCTATGTGTCTGGAAATATCCCTTGACGCCTGAGTGGCTGCCTAAGCTCTGTCATTGTTGTCCAGAATGTACTCAGTAGTTGTAAAGCTCTGTGATTGTTTTACAACCATGGAACCTGATGTACTTTCAGCAAAAACTATTCAGAATCTATTCTAGGAAGTATCATTCCACTAATCGCATGACACAGTTTGTCATGCATTTGTTTGACAGTACCAGAACCAGTACTTCATTTAAAAACAAACAAACAAACAAAAATTGAAAAATGTTTAGTGTAGCATTTGCCATAGCAAAACTAGAGTTAAGATTGAGATGCCATTTCCATTCTAATTCCCCCTCTGCAGTTGTTCAGAACGTTATCAAAACATTCCTTTAGGACTCAAACTTTTTGTGCTTGGTTTAATCCAAATTTGTTTAACTTTTTTAATTTGAGTAAAATCAGTTCAGTCATCCTGGAATTAAACAAATATGAAAAATCCATTCCTCATATCTGGATTAAATATATTTGTTAAAACTGGACACTTGTCTTGTTTTAGAGTCCTTTTTAGAGAAAGAAAAGCAATACATTTTTGTAGAAGATCAGTTCAGGGTTTTTGAATTTGGAAATAGTAAATGGTAAGGCCTATGGGTTGCTGCTTTGTGCTGTGCCATTGGTGGAAAGTGGCCCTAAAGCCAGCATTACATGGGACGATCACCCCAGTATAGCTGTAGCGCCAACTGCGGAACTCCTACGCTGACTCTTTCCCTGATGCCAGTGTAGAGGGGGTGACTGAGCTCCCTTATACTTAACTGATACTTGGCTGCCATATTGACCTCTTGCCAACTGCCAATGGTCCACTTACATCCTTTCAGGCTGGTCTATGTTGTGCCAGGCAACTGACTTGGGCCCTGGATCAAGAGGATGCAAAGGCCACTTTTGCCCTCTGCCACAATTTTAGGGTAACTCACCCTTCTTGGTCCTTAAAGGTTTCACTCTCAGCCGTCACCTCTCCTGGGCAGAGACCCATGCCTCAGTCAGAAGGGAGTGGGGGTTTTAAGGACATCTCCCTGATCTACACTGTGATATCCCCAGCAAGCCAGTCTGCCATGGCCTGTGCTTTGCTTTTTCTCTGACGGCTGTGGCCAGTATTTGGCCTGCAGTTACAAGTTACTACACAGCTTCTTCCAAGCAGGCACATTTATTCTTAAGGTAGAAGTATTACAGAGAAAGCATATAAAAACATAAAAGAACCTACCCATGTGCTAAAAATCTTACCAGAGGTCACCCACCCCCAACTCAGCATAGGGCTCTTCTAGATGTTAGTCCTTCAAACCCCAAAACTGTTTTTTTCCTCTTGTTACAAGGTCAGATCAGTCTTTAGAGCAAGAACTGGAACAATGGCCCTGCATCAATTTAAGATCAGGTTATTTATCCAAAAGTCCTTTCTTTGTCTCTTGATCACTGGAGAATCCAGTTTGAACCAGAATATGTGAGCCTCCACAGGAGGTGGTACTTCTCTGGAGGTGTTAGAACCTGAGTGATTTGCCTTAATTATCCCCTACTGTTTTCACTTCCTGGAGGAATTGTGGTAATCCTCCCCACTGTGGAATGCATACAGTCCCTGGCCCACAAAGATACATAAACCAGTCATACACTTAATACATATGGTCTCCCAAAGATATGTCAGGAAGTTGCCTTATCTGTCTCTCACTCCTCCATTTGAGCTGCACTATATGCTAATCAGCCTCAGCTGAAGACCTAGCATTAAAATTTATGCATGGTTTATGAATACTTTGAATTCAGCTTTTTTTTAAAAAGATCTGTCTCTAATATGGATTAGAAAGTAGGATGCATGCTGAACTGCTTTAGCATAAAACTAAATTCATAACTACTTAAGGGCCTTAGAAGGAAAATGGTTGCGTATAGTGCTGAGCTACCTTAATCCTACGAGGCAGCTTAGTGGTTAAGTGTTGCTGAGATGCTTAAGTATTTAGAACCGAAGACCTCCTTAAGGTCTGAGGAGGCATTCTGGTGTCAGGGCGAGAGTGGGGGAGGGAATTAGGCAGTAAGAAGAAGTAGATGGAGGTCATTAGCCAGGAAAGGGAGGTAGAAAATAATTGTTTGTTGAGTGAGGTATGGTCTGGAGCCAGAGTAGAGGTAGAAGGTAACTGGGTGTGTGCTGGGGATTGTGGTGAGTGTAAGCAGAGCATGAGAAAACTGTCACCTGAAGGAAGTAGAAGGAAGATCTCACACTGGGAAGAATGGGGCAGGGCCGGCTTCAGGCACCAGCGTAGGAAGCTGGTGCTTGGGGCGGCCAATTCAAAGGGGCAGCACTCCGTCCGGTATCAGGGTGGCACGTCCGGGTCTTCGGCGGGAATTCGGCGGCAGGTCCCTCATTCCCTCTCTTCCTCTTTGAGCTGCCGCCGAAGAGGAAGAGAGGGAGGACCCACCACCAAATTGTCACCAAAGAAGTGGCGCGATTGAGCTGCCGCTGAAGTGCCGCTGCTCGTCTTTTTATTATTATTTTTTTGCCGCTTGGGGTGGCAGAAAAGCTGGAGCCGGCCCTGGAATGAGAACAACAATATGAAGAAGAGAAAGAGAAAAAGTAGTCAATTAGTTGAGAAAGGAGACTGAACTATAAAGGACTCCTAGAGATGAGGATGGGTTTTTTTGTTTTGTGTTTTTGCAGGGGAGCATAATCTTGGATGGCCTGGGAAAAGGAGTGGAGAGTGGGAATTTTTACTAAGGAAGTGATAGGAAGAGATTGGTGGTTAGAGATAGCAAAGCTTCTTTACCTCTAAAGTCTCTTTTTAATTCTTATAATGTACCTAGAGCATGGGTTCTCAAACGGGCTCACAGTCTCCTCCCCCAAAAAAGTTTCAGGGGGTCACAAACACCTCCCTTTCTTCATTGCTAGATGGGAGTGGGGCTGTCCCAAAGCTTTTTCTGTTTGTAACATGCGGATGCAGTCTGGAAAAGGTCAAGAACCACTAGCCTAGAGTATTTGATAAACACAACTTAAAATTTATAACTAATAAAGGAGTGTGCCTTTTAGCTATTTTCCTTTTACTATTGTTTGACTTTGAAAAATTCAAGGAAATTAAATACAAAAACTAGTTAATGCAGCATTAAAGTTGAGAAATCAAGCACCCAAAGAAGTCAGAAATTTTGAAAGTCAAGGTTTCTACACTAGGTTTCTCTGCCACATAGTACAAATGTAACATTTACTGTTTCTGGGAGGTTTTAATGCTGTGTTGCTACTGATGGAAAATAGCTTTTAATAAACAAAAATGTGGCCTCACTTTTCTGGTGTGCTGCACCCCTTTCAACTTTCTCTTTCCTCTCCACTCCCAGATTATACCCCCCACCCACCCAAAGAAACAAAGCAAAACACAGTGTTTCCATTGTCTCAGACTTGGTGAAGTCCTGTTTCCAAAACAATAGAAGGGATTATACTGTCTGTTATCCATTCGTACCAGTGTGCTTTATGGCTAGCTGTTGATTTATGGTAGTTTCCTAAAATAGCACAGAATTTGACCCACTCTGTCTGACTAACACCCTGTGCAATCCCATTGATCTCAAGAGCATAGAAATTGGCTTAGTCTGATTAGAAACGGAGCGTAGTCAAAGCTTTAAATATAATACAACTTTATATATTCCATACCTATAGTGGCCTTGAAGGGCTTAACCCTAGTCCCTTTGAGCAGATCCTTAGTGAAAAAAATTACATGGGAATATGTTCTTTAAGATCATGCAGACAGAGAACACTCATCATTTTCAGCTCACTATTAAAACGTTAATTAAAATCCAATCATTCAGATGAGTGACAAATTATTAAATGGATTTGCTGCTGATAGGGCAGCTTTTTTTAGGAAACAATTCTAAATCTACAAAATTACTCCAGGTTGCATGATGATGAGTAGTTGCTACTCTGCACTCACTGGCAAGTAGGGTGAGGTCTCTTTAAAGAGGAGCCCTTCAATCTCTGCTTACTATATTTGTGCAGTTGTTAAACTACTACAAGTTCTTTCAGTATTTATTTATGACTCAAGACAAAAATGTATTTTATTCTTTATGTTGTTAATAAGTACCAGGATTGAAAACTAGTATGGACTTTCCTAACCTTGTCCATATGTCCCAATTAGGGTTGAAAGGAGGAGCTGGAGGACCCGATGGACAGGGTGGCACCTTTCGATACTCTTTCCATGGTGATCCACATGCCACATTTGCAGCATTTTTTGGTGGCACAAATCCTTTTGAGATCTTCTTTGGGAGAAGAATGCCTGGTGGCAGAGACACTGAAGACATGGAAGTGGATGGAGATCCTTTTGGATCCTTCACTAGTTTTAGCATGAATGGATTTCCAAGAGAGAGGAATACAGTTGGTAGCCAGCCTCGTCGTAAACAAGATCCCCCGATTATCCATGAACTTAAAGTATCATTGGAAGAGATATATCATGGCTGCACAAAAAGGATGCGAATTTCCCGAAAAAGGCTGAACCCAGATGGCAGAAGTGTCCGAACAGAGGACAAAATCCTCACCATTGAGATCAAGAGAGGGTGGAAAGAAGGCACCAAAATCACTTTCCCAAAAGAAGGTGATGAAACACCCAACACTATCCCAGCCGATATTGTTTTTGTCATTAAAGACAAAAGTCACTCGCTCTTCAAGAGAGATGGTTCAAATATTATCTATCCTGTTAAAATCAGTTTGCGGGAGGTAAGTTTCTTGTTAGTTGATAGCGCAACTGAAATATAAAAACAAATTGTCTTAGCATGGTATTGTGGCTACACTGCAGAAAACAAATCTATAGCAATTATCATAGTTCCGCACTCCAGTTCTCTAGCTAATACAATTTAATCAAACTAAATATAGTACATAGTTATCTGTACCAGAATCATTGGCTTTTTTACTGGGGTCTGCATCATATATTGTTAAGTTTTGTCTGTGGCAGCATACAGGATGATCTGTGGGAAAGGAAAGTAGAACATATTTGCCATTGTTCTAAGTTTTAGTACTAAGTACAGTAGCTTTCTATATGTAAATGCAGATTGGGTTGGAGTAATAATGAATGCATCCAATGTAATGGACTCCTTTCTGCTATGATATATCGTCCTTATCATTTCTGGAGTAGAAAGCATCTAGAACTCATGTCTAGAATATTTTCACAGCTCACCACTGGAGCTTAATTTAGCAAACTTGCAAAATATCTTTCATGTCACACATTTCAGTGTACTTTTAGAATACATAGAGATGGATTTCATGGGGATAAATTGTGAGCAGGTGTTGTTATGGAAGTTATATGTGATGATAAAAATGAGTTAATAACATTTTTTTTTAGATGCACTCCAAAGACCAAAGTAGTTTTGCTTTTAGAAGCAAAAATAAGGGATTGCAGAGTGTTTTCTTTAGTGTTTGAAGACAATTAAAGGAATTGATTCTCTCCAAAATGAATCAAGTCTGTATTTTTAAAAATGTAGCATTAAGGAATGGTGAGAATAAACTAATCTCAAGTGATGTGCAGAGGATATGCAAAGAAAGTATGCCTGTATTCTGAACTTTCAAAAAAACAAACAAACAAAAAATAAACTTGTTAAATGCTATTTCGTGAGATGAATCACATAATACAAGAGGAAAAGCAGTATGTAATGACAGGATGGGTAATGTGGTTTCTGCACAAATATCATAATTCTGCTACTGAGTCCAAATAACACCGAGTTTTGTCAGCACACATTAAGTACATAGAGTAGGTGGAAAACAAAAGCAATCCTTGCAGGCCAGAAGTCCAGTGATAAATGTATAAATATTTAGATAAAACAGGAGATTAGTGGGAATTATCTCTGTTAAAAAACAAAGTGCTTAGTTTGTTTTGTTTTTGCCAAGAAATTATATCTTGATGATATAGAGAAGGTAAATCCTTGGTTTGTATTTTAGTATTTGCTTTAATTTGAACATCACAAATGTGCATGTAAAAAGACACTTTGAAGATTGATAGCAGACTGAGCAAATAATGGATTTTTTTTTGGTTTGGCGATCAAACCAAAAAATCCATGAGGGAAGAGAAAATCCCATTTAATTTAAAACCAAAACCTTTTTTTTTTTTTTTTCAAAATGTTCATTTTGAATTGACAAAAACGTTCTGATCAATTCAAAACAAAATGTTTTTGAGTCAGCCATTTCAGGTGGTTTTCCAACCCCACCTCCTCTGCTTTTTTTTTCTTTTAGTTGGCCAAATTTGAATTCAAAATACCATTTCAAAATGAAACATTTCAGATTGTTTGAGGGTTTTTTTCTTGGCCAAAACTATTCATTGAATTCAATCCAAATTTGCAAACTGTTTTGGGACACTGAAAAATGCATTTCTCCCTCCCCCCCACCCCCAAAATCTTAGCCAAAATTTTTTTGCCCAGCCCTATCAAAAAGATTCAATTTAAATGTCAGATACTACCCCTAAAATCATTTTAAAAAGCAAATTATGAGCAAAACAAGTGTTGCAAGAGTCTTTAAATAAATGTATACTCTATGTAACGCTAAGCCAGGGCTGGCTCCAGGCACCAGCTTAACAAGCAGGTGCTTGGGGCGGCCAAGGGAGAGGGGCGGCACCTGCGGCAATTCGGGGGTGGCAGGTCCCTCACTCCCTCTAGGAGCGAAGGACCTGCTGCTGAACTGCCGCCGCCGATCGCGGCTTTTTTTTTTTTTTTCGCTTGGGGCGGCAGAAATGCTGGAGCTGGCCCTGCGCTAAGCACAGTAGAGCTAGGACTCTGAATTTCTAATGACAGCTGAGATGCTGCTTGTTTGGTACAAATTCATGAGCAGAACACAGTGAGAGTACTGAGCGCATTTGTTCTGTTTGTACCAATCACTGCGTTATCTGTTGAAGTTTAGGATGCAGCACCAGGGAGTAAACCCTTTCATGACTGCTTCAGATGTCATTCTAGGGCACTGATAACTGGTTTGATATTGGAGATACATTGGTAATAAAGCAAGCGTCCCCTTTTAAAGGGAGCAACATAAGTTATTGTCTTTCGGTTTTGACAGTTCTCTTCGGTTATGCAAAATAATCCATGTATTCACAATATCAGCTTTTTCTAATTCTGTAATCTGAAAATTCAGATTTCAATACAAATAAGCTTTTGATGGTTGCCTCTTTCTCATGATATGAACTATTTGTTTTAGGCTTTATGTGGCAGCTCGGTCACCGTGCCAACAATAGAAGGAAGAACCATACCTATGACAATAAATGAGGTTGTAAAGCCTGGGATGAGGAGAAGAATTATAGGATATGGGTTGCCATTTCCCAAAAATCCTGACCAACGTGGCGACTTAATTATAGAATTTGAAGTAAATTTCCCAGACAATATACCTCCAGCATCAAAAGAAGTACTTAGGAGAAATCTTCCTGTTTCATAAAGGAATGGACTGTATTGACACTGTTTCAGCAGGACACTGAAAATGCAGAAGACTGGCAAATTCATGCTGTAAAAGTGCAATCTATATCCATTTGTGGAATATTCATTTTCTTTTTGTGGGGTGGAGGGAGAGAATACGGTAATGCTGCATGAGAAGAGAATGGTTAAATACAAGTCACACGGGTGACTCTTGCAGTAAAACATACAGGGAAAACCACTCACTGTATCTTACTTTAGATCTTCCTAATCAGAGAGTTTATTCAGTATTTTGCTTACCTGTAAAATGTAATCATTTTGCAAAAACTCAATGCACATATTTCTAATAAAGTACTTGAGCATCCAAGTACTTTATTTCATGTATCTCTAGATTATCTATGTGATGCTACCCACTAATATCAGAAATCAGAATTCATAGTAGAAATACGCTCATGTAATATCCAGATATTTAAAGAGACTAAAGCATTAACTGACACCATTTAGATATGAAGGCCCACATGCTACCTTCCATTTCACAAAGCAAAGGCTAGCTAAATCTGTTTGTAGAGCTTCTGAACCCACAAAAGAGTGTCAGCCTGCTCCCAGCTGCCCCAGATTTTGTGAGGACTGCCCTGAAGCATTAGGGGAGAACACATGGCTCTGGGGAAAGGAGTACAGGTGTAGCCACTCTGTGACATGCTCCCTTCAGAAATCCACCTGGGGAATACTACTAATTGGTGGTAACACCCATTCCCTAGGGATGGATTTCAGGACAACATGGTATTTTGGCTCCAGAAGGAGCCATGCTGTCATGGCTACCCATGGTTGCCCATGGAACGGTGTAAATAAAGGCGCTTGGCTTACTCACACATTTCAAGATCATGCATATCTCAGGACATCTGTAGAGTTCAAGGGCTGAACCATCTACCACTTCCATAAGAGAGAAGGGACAAAACCCAGCTCCCAGCTAAAGGATTCTGAGGAAACTTTTTGGGCCTGATCCGAAGCTCATTTAAGCCGGTGGAAGTCTTTCCGTCAATTCAGTGAGCTTGGATAAGTTCCTTTGTGAATAGAAACATGAGTTACCTAGCCCTTAAGGTGAAAAAACATACGCAGGGGAAGGGGAGAGCCCTCAGTAATTGAGTCTAGTATTATAACATGCTATAGGGCTGGTTCCCTTGGTTGCAGTATGGTTTTGGTCATATAATTGCCTTGCAGACTTACTTTCATAACTTAGGTTTTAAAAACATGCCACAGTGCTTTAATAATGACATTCTTAAGGGAAGATTTATTTTTCTTTATAAGAAGAAAATATTACTCTTATTTGCAGTCATTCTTTTACCTGTGGAAATCTACTAGTTACCTGCTCTGGGTAATTTAGGTTATAACAGGGTGTTTAGCAACGTCAGATAAATGATTTTCTGTAGAAGGGTGGGTTATGAGAATTGGGGTTAATTTAGTTAGCCTTTTTTTAATGAGCCCTAGCACAGAAGGATCCCACTTCAGTTTTTCAAAGGAACGCATTCCTAGAAGATACTGTCAATTTTTTAACTACAGTTTCTCTTTCATACAGTTGACACGTATGATAGTGTAAATCATATTCATTTGCAGTCCTGAACAAACAGGGAACCTGAACAGTAGCTGGAGTGATACTACAAGGGGAAAAAAACGTTTTAAAATTAACTACTACCTACTGCTTATGCCTATTGTTATCCTTATATATTGTGTTTATGCATTTAAAAGATTTCCAGTTTCAGTATGTTCTGTATGGCATTTCTCATGTGTTTTTTAATAAACTTGTTTTTAACTTTTTTTATTTTTTTGCCATAAACTCTGTGAAGAGCAAATGAGGCTGAGCATTTGAAACCAAGTCTTGGACACCCATAATCTTAGGCTAGGTCTACATTACGGGGGGTTGGGGGGGTCGACCTAAGATACGCAACTTCAGCTACGTGAATAGCGTAGCTGAAGTTGCGTATTTTAGGTCGACTTACCTGGCTGTGAGGACGGCGGCGAGTCGACCGCTGCCGTGCCGCTGTCGACTCCGCTTCCACCTCTTGCCGCGGTGGATTTCCGGAGTCGACGGCAGAGCCATCGGGGATCGATTTTATCGTGTCTTCACTAGACACGATAAGTCGATCCCCAATAGATCGATTGCTACCCGCCGATCCGGCGGGTAGTGAAGACGTGCCCTAAGTAGCTACAATACTTAGAATAGCTGCAGATATTTTTCAATATCCAACTTCAGGTAAGAGTAGCAGGCCTGAATTAGTAGAATTCCATAGTAGTGGCTAATAGTGTATGTTTACACATACAGAAAACTTAGTTCTTTTATTTCACCATTTCTGAATGTGGTGTAAAACTTAAATTACAGAAAAAGCTGCCACATCATTCTGAAACATTTTACAGTTTTCTCTATGGAGGGAATATTTTTTTCACAGAATGCAGTCAGCCTGTGGAACACATTGCCACTACTATTGGTGAGGAGATGAGTTTAGTAGGATTCAAAAAGGAATTAGACACTTTGTATAGATAACAGATAAAACTTTCAAAAGTGCCTAAGGACTAGATATGTTAAGGGATTTAGGTGCCTAAACCAGCAGCCAGGTGCCTAATGGGATTTTCAAAAGCATCTAGATGCCTCACTCCCATTGAAATCAATAGGAGTCAGGCACCTGGGCACTCGTGAAAATTCTTCTCGGAACCTTGCTGCTGGTTTAGGCGCCTAAATCCTTTTTTAAAAATCTGGCCCTGAGTTCCATTTTTTTTTCCAGAAGGGACTAAGGCCTAGTCTACACTAGAAAGTTAGATGGGTTTAACTGTGTCGGTCAGGGGTGTGAAAAGTTAAACCAACCTAAGTCCCTTTGTAGACAGCACTAGGTTGACAGAAGACTTCTACCATCTCTTGGGAAGGTGGATTACCTACATAAACCAATGGGAGGATTCTCCCTTTGGCATAGGTAGCATCTATGCTGAAGTGCAATAGTGGTGCAGCTATAAGTGTAAAGAAGCCCTTAGGTGCTTATATCTCATTGAAAGTCAATAGGACTTAGCGCCAGATTCCTGAAGGAATTTAGGCACTTAAAGAGACAGATAGGTGCCTAATTCGACCATGTAGGTACCACTGAAGTTTTCAAAGCCAAAGTTCAGGTGACTCCTCAAACACCCTCACCCAACTGCTCAAGTCCTTTAGGTGCCTACATTTCTGCGTAAGTGCTGCTGTGACCCTAAAGCTAACATGTTGCTTGGAGCCCTATCTCAAGCCAAAGCTCTGGAGACCCTAAAGCCGATTTTTAAAACTAGGTACAGAAACATCTATCTCGGCAGCAGGGCCTAATCCCATAAGTGCACTTTGAGCACACCTAAGACCTAGTACCAGTCAGACTCTGCAGAAGGAGGGCCAGATGTAGGCTACCAATAGGTGGAGTGACAGCACCTGCACAAAGACAGCCAGGAGTTCAGGGTAATGTATGGTGAGCATGAGGGAGATACAGAGCATGAGCTGGAGCTAGGTAGGTAGCCCATGCCTTAGAAGCTGAAAAAATCTCTAAGTAGCTGAGCTGGCTTAGGTACTGAACTCTGGGAGAAGGTTCATGGCTGAAGATCCCTATCTCTAGCCTGTCAGCCACATGTACCAGGTGAGTGACTTAGATGCCTAAGCCTCTCTCCTAACCTAGCCAGGAGTAAAATGGTTAGGTGGCTCCCCACTACCAGCTGCCTAACTTCTGACAATCCCTTTCATGGGGCTTGTCTACATGGGGGTTTTAAGCCAGATCAAATCAAGTTAATCTAGTTGCACCACATGTCCACACAATACAACCCATTACTTGCACTAACTCCACATTTATTGGGAACTCTGGAATCCTCTTGCAAAGTGGACTAGGTTTGCTTCTCAGAGAGTAAGCAGGAGGCTTCCAGAGAAGAGCTGCCCCTGAGCTAGGATCTTTTTGTGACTCAGGACTCTGATGACAGCCAACTGGAAAGCCAGCCCCAGTTCTGCCCTGATACAACAAACCCTGATTTCTGTTCTGCTTCAGCTGAGCCCGACTCCTAGCAAAAACCTGGGCCAAGGGCAAAGAGTCAAATCTCCTGTAGGGAACTATGGCATGTAAGTATCTATTTTTACAATTTATTATTGTTGCAGATGTGAGCTAGGAGGCCCCGTCTCTCCGGCCCGCCATGTTGCTTCAATATGGCGCAGTTGCAGTCTGTACCATTGTTCCTCTTCACCCTGTCCTGTGGTAGATTTGAAAACCAAAAGCATTCATTTGTGCAAAATTCAACAGTTTATTGAAACAGTGCTTGCAGGAAAATAAATTTGGTTAGTTTTCATGAGATATAACTGCCTGTTGCATGCCCAGTTAAGGCACAAACAATACTGCTCCATGCTGAGGTACAAATGGCTGTAACTTTCATAGTATCTGACAATCACTGTAAGTTCCTATCTATTTTTCTCTTCACTTTCCCTGTGTCTGCAGGGGAGATATAGCAAAACTTAACACTGAAAAACAGCTTGATTTTGTTTCTCATGTTATAGGGATGCTCAGGCGGGCCACCCATCCCCCGTATAGCTTGTAAGTCCCATCCACTCCTGCAGCGCTTCTCTGGGGACCATCCTGGTGAATAGAATAGCTTCACAACATATCTCCCTGATCTGCCCTTTGCCTTTTTGAATGAGACCATTTTCTGTCTCCTAGTGACCAGTCTCAGCGAAAGGTTATTGAGAGTGAGGACAGTCTAAAGAGAATGTAGAGGGAATTGCGATCCAGCTTGCCCCTTAATATCTCTGCCTTACACCTCTGACACCACAGTAGCACCTCCACCTCACAAACAAAGATGAAAAAAGAAACCTGAAACATATAGCTCCAACCACCCCCGATCCCTGACAGCATGAATGCAGATACAGTAGACTGAAATCAAGGCTGGCTCCAGGGTTTTTGCCCCAAGCGGCACCAAAAAAAAAAAAAAAAAGCCACGATCGCGATCTGCGGCGGCAATTCGGTGGGAGGTCCTTCGCTTCGAGCGGGAGTGAGGGACCGTCCGCCGAATTGCCGCCGAATAGCTGGACCTGCCGCCCCTCTCTGGAGTGGCCGCCCCAAACACCTGCTTGGCAAGCTGGTGCCTGGAGCCGGCCCTGACTGAAATCCAAATGCAGCCAGCACCTTCCATACACACAGACCCCTGACTGTCTCTGAAGTTCCTGCAAGAATGGGAAGAGTTTCAGGGAGGTAAGGTCACATATACATAATACTAAAAGCTATCATGACTTGTCTGGGATGTGAACAATAAACAATTTCTTTTTTCCCCTTAGTCTCACCGCAGCACCAGTAACAGCCAGACCATCAAGGACAGGGCCTCTATCTACTGCTGACAGGCTGGGCAACCTGAGGGGGAGATCAAGGAAGATTCAGGACAAACTGTTTTCAGAACTTATGGCATTTACAGTGAAAAACCTGGCTGGCTCAGAGGAAGACCCAGAGGGAGAAAAATGAAGCTCTCCCAGGAGATGGTGGCAGTGACCAAGGACAGCATGGCTGTGGCCAAAGATAGCATCACCATAGTGAAGGAGAGCATGGAATAAGGCAGATGTGGTGAGAGGGAACTCATGGGGATGGAGAAATGAATGAGGTGCAAGAGATTAGGTTCTGGAGACTGGGAAAAATCTGTAATGTGTGTGTGTGTGTGTGTGTGTGTGTGTGTAGAGGGAAGTAGGAAAAAGACAAGGAAAAGCAGAAAAGCACTTAGTTTTCTTTTAAGTTTTTATTGCATGATATATTTTATCCAGGTATAATTCCCCACTCGTACCTCTTGCTAAAGTCTTGCAAGGCAGAGCCCTACTTTCATAGGTCTCACAAGATTTGTCAGAGCAGGGCTCCTCTTTTGTTGACCTTTGATTTAAACCAGCGGTCTCAAACTCAATTTAACTTAGGGCCAGTGCCAGTCCTCGAATCCTCCCAGAGTTCCAATAATGTCACTGAAGATGGTGTTCAGAAAAGAAAACGTTCATATTGTATTTTTTATTTCGAATTTCTTATAAATAATAAAACTGTCATACAACATTATGCAATTCTTCGCCTGCCAGAGAACTTTTAGTGTTTGCCAGAACCTGGCAACGCTTCAGTTCTGTCAGTTTGTTGATGTTTGGCCCCAGTGACTGAGCAGTTGAAACCTTCAGGATTGCAGCAAGGTGTGCATCAGTTGTGTTTGGTATTTTGACTTGTTTATAT